TGTGTGTGTGTGTGTGTGTGTGTGTGTGTGTGCTTTTACCTAAAGTTGTAAATTGAAAATCCCTTTTTTTAAGATTTTTTTTTCTTGGGAAATAGATTAAATGATCCTTTAGTGAGCCTTGGGCAACTAACCTTAATTTCTAATTCCCCGCGCAGCTTGACGATAAATCCTCCGACGCGATCGAGACAGTCTTTGGTATCTTGTGAAATGTGGATCTTGAAAGCTGCGAGAAAAAACGTGATCAGTGAAGAGCAGGTGGCGGGTTTTTTATTTAGATTAGCTGATTTAAAACCATTTAGGGAACAGAGAAGATATTTTTCTTGGTGTTTTGATTTGAATGTAAAAAGAAATGATGGAATGGATAATTCCACGAAGAAAAATAAACAGACAAAGGTAAAAAAAAGGAAGAAGAAAAGAGCACTCACGTAGTCCCGTGGCCTCGATCTTGGCGGCGAGGTTGACGGAGTCGCCGAAGAGGCAGTAGCGCGGCATCTTGGTCCCGATCACGCCCGCGACGGCGGGGCCCGTGTGGATGCCGATGCGGATCTGCAGGCGCTCGCCGGGCATGTGCGGGATCACGAAGTTCTCGGTGCCGTGCAGCAGGTCGATGGCCATCGCTGCCACCTCGGCCGCGTGGTCCTTGCCTGCAGGAGGGACGCGGGCGCTTACGGAGGGGCGGTTAGGCGCGAGTGGGGCTTGTTTGGGGTGCCATGTGTACGTACGTGTGTGTTTATATGTGTGTGTGTGTGTGTGTGTGTGTGTGTGTGTGTGTGTTTGTGTGTGTGTGTGTGTGTGTGTGTGTGTGTGTGTGTGTGTGTGTTTGTATGTGTGTGTGTGTGTGTGTGTGTGTGTGTGTGTGTGTGTGTGTGTGTGTGTGTGTGTGTGTGTGTGTGTGTGTGTGTGTGTGTATGTGTGTGTGTGTATGTGTGTGTGTGTGTGTTGTAGATGTGTATGTGTGTGTGTGTGTGTTGTAGATGTGTATGTGTGCGTACGTGCGTGTATGAGTATACAAATGAGCTAACATACCAGGATATGATTAGACTTTAGATCACTAGATCGTCTTATTTAATCTGCGTATTCATTTTCCCCGCCCCCTTTCCCCTTCCTATTACTACTATTACTTACTATTATATTATATATATTACTTACTTACTACTATATATTGCTTACTGTCACTATACCATTGCCAGGGCGGCGACCCGCACTCACCTTCCTCCCGCATGTGCAGCCCCGAGGCCACCATGTACGCGTCGCCGATCGTCTCGATCTTGTAGACGTCGTAGCAGTCGATGCGGGAGTCAAACATCTTGTACAGCACGTTCATGAGGGAGATGACCTGCGGAGGCAAAGGGAAGGCCGCCGTTCAGAGCAGAGGACTACCGGGGGACGAACTGGAGGGAAGGAGCAACGGGGTTCGTACGGGTTTGGGCAAAGCCTAGTTGAACGAGCAGAGAGGGGGTAATCTAGATTCTCTTCTCTTCCTTCCATGCTGATCTCTCTCTCTCTCTCTCTCTCTCTCTCTCTCTCTCTCTCTCTCTCTCTCTCTCTCTCTCTCTCTCTCTCTCTCTCTCTCTCTCTCTCTCTCTCTCTCTTTCTCTCTCTCTCTCCCTCCCTCCCTCCCTCTCCCCTCCCTCACCTGCATGGGCGTGCTCTGGTTGGCCATCTCGGAGAAGCCGACGATGTCGCTGAAGTAGATGGTGATGGCCGAGTAGGTCTCCGCCGCCACCGTCTTGTGGATGCGGAGCTGCTGCGCGACGCTGGACGGCAGCATCTGGTACAGCAGCTTGTCCGAGCGCTTCTTCTCGAACCTCAGCTCGTGCGTCTTGTGCAGCAGCGTCTCGGAGAAGGCCTGGAAGGGCACAGACAGAGCGGTTGGCTTCTCGGGGGAACGGGGGGGCGGAGAGCGACCGTTAGGAAACGAAAAGGAAGACAAAGCCTGAAAATCAAAGTACGTGAGGCCTCTAACACCGAGCGAAGACCGGATGAGAAGGACAGGTAGATATTGTTGGGACAAGTGTTTTGGAAGAGCAAGATTTGGACAGAGAGAAAAATATCGAGTGGTCGTGTGTTTAACCGGTGATTAAAAAAAAAGAAAAAAAAGGAGAAAAAAATATAATAAAGTATATATACCCTACGAGGAAGAGAACGACGTCAGCACACCTGGTCAAACGTGAGCTTACCTGCAAGTACCTACCTGGAGGGTCCTGGTGATCATCCGCACAAGAATGATGATGACGGGCGAGATGATGAGGACGACGGCCAGGAGCGCGATGCCGATCACCACGTGGCTGTTGGAGGCCTGCACCTCCCGCACGATGGTCTGCTCGATGGTCTTCCTGCGGGGGAGAGAGGCGCGTTTTGGAGAGAGGGGCGGGAGGGCAAGGTTCCAATGTGCCTCCCAGATACAAGACAAAATGACCCATTCTTTGAAATAAGAAACAAGTAGGCGCCACGATTTTATGGCATAATAACTGCACTCTTTTGAGGAACAGGGAGCGCC